CTCGTCCAAGTTGCTGATGAAGATGTTAAACAGTGCGGGCCTGAGGACCGAGCCCTGGGGTACCCCACTGCTCACATCTCGCCAGGTTGAGTACGACCCTTCCACCACTACTCTCTGGGTGCGCCCCCATCAGCCAGTTTTTTACCCATCCAACTGTGTAGGCATCAATGCCACAGTCGCTTAATTTATTAATGAGGATGGGGTGGGAGACAGTGTCAAAGGCCCTCTTAAAGTCTAGAAAGCCTACGTCCACGGCAACACCATCATCCAAGGGTTTAGTTACCTGGTCATAAAAGGCAATCAGGTTGGTCTGGCAGGACCTGCCTTTGATGAACCCATGCTGGTTGCCCCTGAGCATGATCTCCCCTGCTGGCCCCCCGCAGATGTGCTCCTTGATGATTCTCTCCATAAGAGTCACTTTGTTTGTAGCCAGAAGCCACCGCGAGGATGTGGCTGTTCCTGGCGGCCCTGCTGGCGCTGTACATCCTGCGTCGATGGTACCAGGAGCGGCAGACGGTCGGGAACCTCCCGGACAAACACGTCTTCATCACGGGCTGCGACTCCGGCTTCGGGCACCTGCTGGCCCAGCAGCTGGCGGGGTGCTGGCGGCGTGTCTGAGGGACCAGGGGGCCGAGCGGCTGCAGCAGGTGACGTCGGGGAGGCTGCAGACGGTGATCCTGGATGTCACCTGCTCCGACAGCATCGCTGCAGCCACTGCCTGGGTGAAGGGGCACGTGGGGGACCGAGGTGAGGCCTGGCGCTGCCTGTGCTCCGCGGTGGGGATTCTGGGCTGGTCCCCATGCAGCCAAACCCTGATCCCGGCTCCCTGCCCAGTGCCTCCTTGAACATAAGAGCATGAAACGCCCGCGTGGCACTGCCCAGAGGTCCCCGCAGCCCAGACTCTGCTCTTTCCAGGGGCAAAGGCAGACCATAAAGGAGGGGGCAGGTGGAGAGAGATGCTGTATTTACTCAGGGCCCTTCAAACTACTCTGCTCCCTGCCTGTCTGCCTCACTGTGGCCCATCCCCAGAGCCCACGTGACCCTCACAGGGGGCTGCTGTCCTAACCGTCACACTCATCCCTGGGGAGCTCTCACCATGGTAAAGAGCAGGTCCCCACTGACCTCCCTCTGCCTCTTCAGTTTCCTGCAGCCTCTCACGTCCATGGCCCTTGGTTGCTGCCTGTGGACCCTCTCCAGGCCCCAACCCCTGCCTGCCCTTCTCTGCCCCTTGTCAGCTCCAGCAGAGGCTCAGGCTGCAGAACGGGAGAGGTTGGGACCAACCTTCCTCTGCCCAGGACAGTTCTTCCTGGGAAGGGGGCTGGATCGAGGAAATCTGCTCTTGAATCAAAACCGGACTCTCAGCATGTGGCAGTCAGGGCAGGAAGGGTTTGTTCTCCTCACCAGAGAGCGCAGGGGAGGTGCAGGGCAAGAACTGAGCCATGGAGCTCATGCTCTGGGAGCAGAATCGGGCCAGGTAAGGAGCCAGGCCAAACCTCCCATGCTGTACCCTCCGCAGGGCTCTGGGGCCTGGTGAACAATGCTGGCATCGGGGTCCCCATAGCCCCCAACGAGTGGCTGAGCAAAGCTGACTTTGTCAAGGTGCTGGATGTAAACCTGATTGGGCTGATCGAGGTGACGCTGAGCCTGCTGCCCCTGGTGCGCAGAGCCCGGGGCCGCGTCGTCAACGTGGCCAGCGCAGTGGGCCGACTCTCCGTGATGGGAGGTGGCTACTGCCCTGCCAAGTACGGTGTGGAGGCCTTCTCCGACAGCCTGAGGTACCCAGGTCCAGTCCCCGTGTCCCGCGTTCTCTCCTGGGCCCTGCCGGGTCCTGGCATCTCCACTTGGCCTCCGCAGACACCCGCCCTGCAATCTCCAGGATGCTGGGTGCCTGGGAGGCAATGGCCGTGCTTCCGCCCCATGTTCACCCTGCCGTTTGCATTCTAGGCGCG